GTAGGAAGACACTGTGCTTGTCTATACAGGAACTTCAGTCTGGCATTCGCTTTCTTTACTACACTGTTCCCTATCAATTCTCCTGACATGCATGGGTCAAAGGGGATTCCCAGATATTTTACTGATGAAAGCAAAGTGATGGGCTCCCCATTACACTGAACATTAAAATTATTTACCCTTCTCAGTTTATGTTTCGTGCCAAAGAGAATGGCTTCAGTTTTCCCTAGGTGTAATGATAGTTTGTTGTCTACTAACCATTTGCTGCAGGACTCCAGTTCCAGTGTTAAAACATTAGCAATATCTTGTGGGTCTTTACCTGGCACTAACAGAGCACTGTCATCTGCATACAGTAGGAGTTTGCACTTGACACTGATAGGCATATCATTGACATAACATAAGAATAATAAGGGACCCAGAATACTACCTTGGGGAACTCCACATGTTATCGGCAGGGGTTCTGATTCCGTTTTGTTGATTTTGACTATTTGTCTCCTGTTGCTAAGGTAGGACTTAAACTAGTCTACAGAACCTATACCGACAGCTTGAAGTTTCTTACATAATATATTGTGATTGACAGTATCGAAGGCCTTTTGCAGGTCTAAGGTTACCATACCTATGAGGTTCCCCTTTGACATTTCTGTTCTCAGGTAATCCATCAGATTAATTAGGGAGGTGTCGGTTGAGTAGGATCTTCTAAAGCCCGATTGATAGCTATGGAGAATGTTGTTTCATTAAGGTACTTAACTACTTGAGAATACACCGCCCTCTCTAGAATTTTAGATATACTGAGTATACTAACAGGCCTATAGTTGCTTACATCAGACCTACTATTTTTCTTGAAGATAGGAGTAACTCTGGCCTCCTTGAACCCCTACGGTACAGTATTAGTGGTGATTGATAGATTTATTATGTGAGCAATAGGGATTGACAGTTCAGAAACACCATCTTTTAGGAACTTAGACTGGATGTTATCAGGGCCTGTGCTCTTAGTTGGGTTTAACCTGCTTAGTTCTTTTTGAATAAAGTCATGAGATACACTTACTAGTTGACAACTGTTTGGGGTTACCCCTTTATTGGTATAGTATGTTTGAAACTTATCAGAGTCTGTGTTAAAGGTATTTGATGCAGCTGGTAGTTTACTTATTAAGATTCTTAATATCAGAGCATAAGTCAATAAATTCATACTCATTATTTATCATTTCTAAACCCATACTTCTAACTAATCCTAGTTTAAAGCCCTAACAACCCCCTCAACTGAGCTAGCAAGAAAACCCACACATGCCCTGGATAAGTAAACCCCATCCCTGGCATACATGTCATTTCGGCCATAGAAGTTGTCCCAGTTGTCAATGAATGGTATTGCATTATCCTTACAGTTTTTATCCAGCCAACAATTGACACCAATTGCTCTGGACAACCATTCATTTCCAACACCCCTTCTTGGCAAAATGCCACATATAACAGGGCGCCCCCCCTTCTTCCTAATTATGTCTATTGCTGTCTTGAACCTTCTAACTAAATCCTCATTGCCTACATCATTGCCTCCAGCACTGAGGCAGATAATAGGATTGATCCCATTACCGTTCATGATGTTGTCAAGCCGGCTAACAATATCCTCCATCCCAGCCCCAGGAAAGCAAACCCACTGTCTCCTACTCCTGTCCTTCAAGCAGAAAGCCCTATCCATGTACCTAACCTGGCTATCCCCAACAACAACAATATTCTTACCTTTCTCGGTGTCGTTCGTCGTGACGTTTCCAGTAGTTGACTCACATTCGTCGGGTAGCACAGAGAATGCATTAGATGTTTCCACAACAGTTTCCACAGCAGTCTATTTCTTCTTCATCGTTTCTACCTTTCCATTCGTCTTCTTGATAGTCAACTTCGTTTCATGCTGTCCAGCCACTGTCCAGTTTTCCTTCTTGACCTGAGGACTCAGAACAGGAGGACTACTACGAATCCTCTTGTTTTCCTCAGTCAATCGCCGTATCTCCATCTTCGCTACCCTCAATTCTTCCTTAAGCTGCTGGTAAAGTTGCTCGATGGAGAGCATCTTGGTTCAATCCAAGGAGAGTACACTAACGTCCTCACTAAGCTAAGTATACGTCACCACTGAGCTAAGTACACGTCACCACTGGCTAAGTACACGTCACCACTGAGCTAAGTACACATCACCACTGAGCTAAGTACACGTCACCACTGAGTTAAGTACACGTCACCACTCAAAGTTAAGTACACTTCACCACTGAGCTAAGTACACATCATCACTGAGCTAAGTACACGTCACCACTTCATAGTCCCGTTTAGCTTTTCTTATCCCCATTTTAATGTTCCTCTTAATGTCAATATACTGATTCATAAGATGACCCTCACCTCTTTTGATGCTTCTATAAATTCCTTTTTTCTGTCCTAAAAGATATTTGAGCCTATTATTCATCCATTTTGGGTCATTTCTATTCGATCTAATTTCTTTATACGGGATACATGTTCTTTGGGCAGCATGTATAGTGTTCAGAAAACTGTCATATTGATAGCTCTCTTCGTTACCCCAGTCAACAGATGATAAGTGTTCTCTAAGCCCATCGTAATCTGCTAAGCGAAAATCTGGGACTGTTACTGAGTTATCCCTACTATCATACTTCCATTAAATGCTAAAAGTAATTGATTTGTGGTTGCTAGCACCAAGTTCCTCTGAAATTTCTAAATTATTAACAAGTGATTCCTTGTTTACCAGAACCAAGTCAAGCAGGTTATTACCCTTGTAGGCTCTGTCACAAACTGCTTCAAAAAACAATCCTGAACTACTTCTAAAAAGTCGTTAGATTCTAAATTCCCAGGTAGAAAATTCCAAACACATTACTAAAGTTAAAATCCCTTAGAATTACAACGTTATCATGCCTTGTGGCCTTAACAATTTCCTCCCAGAGTAGTCCTCCTCGGTCTCTATCCAAGTTTGGTGGACGGTATATCACGTCTAAAATCAATTTTTCATGCCCCTCTGAAAATTCTACCCAAACAGACTCAGTATGTGTTTCGGACTTTATACCAGTTTTTATGCAACAATTTAAACCTACACAATGTGAGTGATTGTGTGTGAGTCTCACACACGCAGTCACGCACGGCGCACCACACAGCCACTCTCACTTTCAGCACAGGTCATTAAGTTATAAGATTTGAAGCTAGCACTGTAAATTTGTAAAGCATAAGAACAAGTATGTGGTGAAGAAACATCCAAGCTCTGTAATTTAGGTTATGATATCCCCCACATCCTCTTTGTTTGGCGCGGATGAGGATAGTTATTTAATCGGAATTGCGGATGGAATCACGATTAAATAAGTATCATTAAGAATAAATGTGGATAAATTAGACACATGTGCAACTCTTGGGTATGTAAAGTAAAAGGACACAAGTGCAATTAATGTCACATTTTATTGTGGCAACGTTTCGCTCTCTAGGAGCTTTATCAAGCCAGGAACTTTATCATGGCTTGATAAAGCTCCTGGAGAGCGAAACGTTGCCACAATAAAATGTCACATTAGTTGCACTTGTGTCCTTTTACTTTACATATTGTCGGTAATTCTACCAACTTTATTACAACTCTTGGGTATCTTTATTAAGGAAACGTTTCGCCACACAGTGGCTTCATCAGTCCATACACAGGAGAAGCTTGAAGAACAGGAGGAGAATGAGGTAATCAGTCCCTCAATCTTGAGTCGATGTGGTCAGTCCATCAATCTTGAGTTGAATACGGCATATGAGCGGAGAAGCAGCTCATAAACCGTAGGTAGGAGAGGTGCAGCAGTCATAGGCGGTGTCACATTTTCCCAATGTGGAAGTAGGTCGTGCCCAAAGGTTAGGCAAGCGAAGAATTCCCAAGTATTAAGATCCCAAGAAGTTGCAGTGTCTGACAGGATTGTAGATGAATGGTTCACAGCTTCTCCTTCACAGCTTCTTCTTCAACTTGTCGGTTTTTCAAACCGTTCATCACAGCCATATCTGTGTTTGAAAAGGTAACTTTGATCATAAATGAGGCATTGGGAATTCGTGTGATGGCGTCTACAAAGGTCCATGTGTTCTGTTCTTCGATAGAGGTCTTCAGTTCATCCGTTGGTAAGGATGTGATTATCTTATTTAATTGAACATTAAAATGGTATAAAATACCGACAGATTGCTAGGTAAGACACATATGCAACAGTTAGGTATCTTTATTTCGAAACGTTTCGCCTACACAGTAGGCTTCTTCAGTCGAGTACAGAAAAGTTGATAGAAGCAGAAGAGACTTGAAGACGATGTAATCAGTCCATCACCCTTAAAGTTTTGAGGTGGTCAGTCCCTCAGTCTGGAGAAGACCATTGTTCCAAAGTTTGAAACAATATGGAGTTGAAGTGACAGGATGGAGCCTTATGTAGCGCCAGGAGGTGAGACGTAGGTCACCAGTAGAATAAAGATACTTAACTGTTGCATATGTGTCTTACCTAGCAATCTGTCGGTATTTTATACCATTTTAATGTTCAATCTGTCAGACACTGCAACTCAAGGGTATCTTGGTACAGACCTGCAATCAACTTCGACTACCTCTACTAGTGAGAACGGCTGGATTTGAGAGGGACCTGACCTCCCAACATCTGCGTTCTACTAGTGACCTACGTCTCACCTCCTGGCGCTACATAAGGCTCCATCCTATCACTTCAACTCCATATTGTTTCAGACTTTGGAACAATGCTCTTCTCCAGACTGAGGGACTGACCACCTCAAAACTTTAAGGGTGATGGACTGATTACATCGTCTTCAAGTCTCTTCTGCTTCTATCAACTTTTCTGTACTCGACTGAAGAAGCCTACTGTGTAGGCGAAACGTTTCGAAATAAAGATACCTAACTGTTGTATATGTGTCTTACCTAGCAATCTTATTCAATTGTTTAACAAAAACTGAACGTTTCGCCCACAAGGAGGGAGACAGTGATATGTTGAATTGTCGGTCTCGCAATGTATTCATTGCAGTGTCGTCCATAAGTTTAGCTGCTTCATTGTCGTCGGTGCAGACGACAATAAAGGAGTCCTTGAGTGAATGGATCGCTGTGAATTTAAGATGTAGGCAGGTTCTTATAGCGTCGGCGTCTGAGGTCTTGTTCGGTGAGAACGAGTTCTGCTTCATCTCAGTTCATCAAATGCCCCTTGGCATTCTTCAGGTCACTATGCATCACTCATACCTCACTCTCCGCCTATATATAATGTCATCGCAAGATTGAGACCCGGTGCTTGATGTCAGATAAGAGGACTTCGCCACAAGCGAGTCTCTCCATCCCCAATTAGACATCCCTGCGCTGAATCTGTACTGGAAGAAGCTCAGTGACAGACAGATAGACAAACTCGAGACACGACATGGCTATTGGACCTTTCTCCCTGACGAAGACATTCGCAGACCCCAAAACCGACAGAACTTTTTCTACTCTTTGTATGATCCTGTTCCCAACCCTATCTACAAATAACCTTTGGATTCTCTGAAAGGTACCTCTGACCCAAGTTCGCATTAGCTGCTGGGTTAAGCCCTGGCTCTATTTCTACGACTAAGAACACTCCTCTCCAGCGCCATTCTTCGTCTGTCCCGTCTTCCCCGCTCATCCCATTCGGATTTTACCTGAACTTGTTCGTTTGTTCGTTCGTTCGTTCATTGAGACCCGTGCCAGGACTACGATCTTGGAGAACATTTTACATACGTAGTGATACCGACAAGATGTGGAAAAAGACACCCTAGTATTTTAGAAGTGATCAAGGTCCCAGGACCGAAACGTTTTCTAATTTGTCATAGTATTTGCTTACGTGTCTTTCTAAACCAGTAGTAGTAGTAGTGATGATAGCAGTAGTAGTAGTAGTTGTAGTAAAGCTAGTAGTATAGTAGTAATATTGGTAGTAGTAATGATAGTAATAGTAATAGTAGCAGTAGAACTGTCTTTGGCGAGATGAGTTGGGTTTGAAAAGGACCTGACACCATGAGTGAATATTAAAATGGTATACAATACCGACAGGTTGGTAGGTAAGACACATGGACAACAGTTGGGCAACTTTATTCCGAAACGTTTCGTCTACACAGTAGGCCTCTTCAGTCGAGTACAGAAAGTAGGCAGGAGCAGTAGAGATGTGAAGACAATGTAATTAGTCCATCACCCTTGACTATGGAACAGAACTCTTCTCCAGGCTGAGGGACTGACAATCTCAAATCTCCGACTTCATGGGTGATGGACTGATTACATCGTCTTCACATCTCTTCTGCTCCTGCCTACTTTCTGTACTCGACTGAAGAAGCCTACTGTGTAGACGAAACGTTTTGGAATAAAGTTATCTAACTGTTGCCCATGTGTCTTACCAACCAACCTGACACCATCACTTTACACCGGTCTCCAACACGAGCGCCAGCCTCAGTGAACCTCCGAGCGTGTCCATCATCAACTCTGTGTTGGATACATACGTTTTTTTACGGCCGTCACGGTTGCTGGCGTTCCTGCGTTTACGTTTCCTAATATCTAGATTCTAGAGCTATCTTCTTGCCACACCCCTCACTATTACACTCGATATAGACTCTTGTGCTAATGACAGAGTCCTCTTGTAGTTGAAGGGTAGGAAGATATTTTAACAATTTTTTTGTCACGTTGGAAGCGTTAGTTGTAACGTGGATGACAGACAGAACGATGGAGATAAATGTTATAAAATACCGACACGGTGGAAAAACAGACAATGCAGTATAATGCGAATTAAACGATGCGCAAGGAGAAGAGTAGCGAGATGAATGAAGAGCAGGAGGAAAGAGTAAAGAATTAAACGATGCTCAGGGAAAAGTGTGGCGAGCTGAATAAATGTGTGACGTATATGCATTTTTCCTCGAGGAACTGCGGACTAGAAATTCTATAAACTCTTCGACAGAATTGTAGATGAATGGTTCAGAGAACCGACACGTTGATAAATTGTCTAATTTATCAACGTGTCGGTTCTCTGAACCATTCATCTACAATCCTGTCAGACACTGCAACTTCTTGGGATCTTAATACATGGGAATTCTTCGCTTGCCTAACCCTTGGGCACGACCTACTTCCATATTGAACAAATGTGACACCTGTGATGAATGGTTTGAAAAACCGACAAGTTGAAGATTGAGACACTTATGCAGCATATGGGAATCTTTATTCAGGAAACGTTTCGCCACACAGTGGCTTCATCAGTCCAATACAAAGAGGAAGGCGTAAGGAGAGGAGGAGTATGAGGTAATCAGTCCCTCAGAATTGCCGGGACTGATTACCTCATACTCCTCCTCTCCTTACGCCTTCCTCTTTGTATTGGACTGATGAAGCCACTGTGTGGCGAAACGTTTCCTGAATAAAGATTCCCATATGCTGCATAAGTGTCTCAATCTTCAAATGTGACACCGCCTACGTCTGCTGCACCTCTCCTGCCTACGGTATATAAGCTACTTCTCGGCACATATGCTGTATTCTGTTCAAGATTGATGGACTGACCACATCGACTCAAGGTTGAGGGACTGATTACCTCATTCTTCTTCTGTTCTTCACAATTCTCCTTTGTATGGACTGATGAAGCCACTGTGTGGCGAAACATTTCCTCAATAAAGATACCCAAGAGTTGCACATGTGTCTTCGAAAGAAGCCTGTAACTGCCCCTCTCTCTATTTGTCCCAGTGTCGTGGTGGGAGACGAAATGCAGTAGATCGTTCTTGTAGGTCGACCTGCTGTAAACTTTAAAAAGAGGCTCAGTGTTTGCTCGTAAGTCGGAGCACGTCGAGGAAATCGGCAATTCAAATTCAAATTCAAATTCAAAGTTTATTCTCTATAAGGATTACAATGCCGAGTTTACAGATTTGGTTATTGTGTGGTTTACATGTAGTTAAATAATGATTACAGAGTGTACCACTAGAACACCTAGCATGGCTAGGCATTTCGGGCAGACTTAATTTAATTTTTAATTTTAAAATATTACAAATTATGAGGTAAGTTGGTATTATGGCTAAGTGACTAAATACTAGTTTGTGAGTTTAGCAATTTGGATGCTTTTGTTTTGGCACAGTACATAGTTTCAGTATTGGAGTATCACAGGATTCATTATTTTAAGATTGAGATTAATATTTCTGTTTATGGTCAAATGGGTGAGTGAGTGTAAGTGTGAACCACCAGGTGGTATTCATGTAATTGGTTGTCGATATTCTCCTCTAGAATAAATTTAATTGCAGGTTTCAGAGTGTTGGTGTTGTTAGGATGTCACGCACTTCTAGATCCTTTGGGTACTATGACCAAACTATCATCCACGTATCGCAACTAAGTATCGTATTTTCCGGCATATAAGACGCACTTTTTCCCCAAGAAAAGTTATGGAAAAATCATTCTGCGCCTTATGTGCCCAAGATCAGCGTCAAGGGTAGGCTTTGGGTTTTATAAATGCACATGCAGTTCATTATAGTAATAAAATTGTAATACTCACAATGCTCGTACGCCTTATATCCCGGAAAATACGGTAAATAATCTAGGGAGTGTTTGGGATCCATCAGGTCCTCCACGTATAAATTGGCCAGGATTGCACTGAAAGGTGAGTCCATGGCTTGCCCGAACAATTATAACGGAGGCAAGGTACATTAACAAGTAAGTAAATTTAGGTGCAGGCACACAAATATAATTATCATACAATGTGTAAATTAACTAGGATAACCCCAAAAAGTCAGACAAAGTGACTTATTTCCATTGGGATCCATTCGAAGAGTGAAGTCGAAGCTGACCTAGAAAATGTACAGAGAACCTTCACGGCGCGCATAACGGAGATAAAACACCTCAATTACTGGGAGCGCTTGAGGTTCCTGAACCTGTATTCCCTGGAACGCAGGCGGGAGAGATACATGATTATATACACCTGGAAAATCCTAGAGGGACTAGTACCGAACTTGCACACGAAAATCACTCACTACGAAAGCAAAAGACTTGGCAGACGATGCAACATCCCCCCAATGAAAAGCAGGGGTGTCACTAGCACGTTAAGAGACCATACAATAAGTGTCAGGGGCCCGAGACTGTTCAACTGCCTCCCAGCATACATAAGGGGGATTACCAACAGACCCCTGGCAGTCTTCAAGCTGGCACTGGACAAGCACCTAAAGTCGGTTCCTGACCAGCCGGGCTGTGGCTCGTACGTTGGTTTGCGTGCAGCCAGCAGCAACAGCCTGGTTGATCAGGCTCTGATCCACCAGGAGGCCTGATCACAGACCGGGCCGCGGGGGCGTTGACCCCCGGAACTCTCTCCAGGTAAACTCTCCAGGTTGCAAACTTATCACTCACGTCGAGATCTCTCACACGGCTCCACAAGTCTCCCGAGTGTTCCGTGAACTTGACTAACTGTACCCAGTAGTTTCGATAAATATTTCACCAAAATTCCTGGTAGCCTGTGAGGGGGAGCTGCCAATACCAGGTGCGATGGGTCTCAGAGAGATATTACGTTTGTGGGTCTTCGATAATCCATAAAGCCTCACTGATCGGGGGTTGGTTGGACGAGGTATCAAAGCTTTGTGCCCTTTTCTGGTTTTTGGAGGATGTTGCGAGTGTTATTAAGAAAGGACTCGGTTTGTTTCCTCTATATATGTTCAGAGAGGAAAGTGTATGTGTTGATGTCACCTAACGTGATGGTGACATGTTCATGTTTATTTAGGTTTTCCAGGACGGGTCCTGGCCCGGGTCTTCTCCATGTGGTGACCCGCCAGTGGCTCCCGATGAAGTGTCGGAGACTGTACAAATGATATACCGTTTACAGCCTTATGATAGGGACACGGTGAGCATTCATGTCAAGTGGTGTACCGTTTACAGCCCTACGGCGAGGGCAGCTCTGTGGTAAGGGCGCGGTGAGCCATTTTTGTGTCAAGTGGAGTACCATTTACAGCCCTATGAAGAGGGCAGCCATATGACAAGGGCACGGTGGCTGTTTCAACTCCAACTGAGCCATTCCTGGCACTCAGACTGCAGCCGAGTGCCAGAACGACTCAGGAGATTCTCTGGAGGTGTGTTGAACACCTGGTTTTATAAGCCTTGGTAATAAATACCGACAAGTTGGTTTAGAAAGACACGTAAGCAAACACTATGACATTTATT